AGAACGCCGCCGTCGCCGTCATATCTGGGCTTGCTCCACTCTGCGGCGTTGTCTCTGGGATCCCCAATGAGTTCGTCAGACCCTGCTCTGTCGCGCCAGCGCCAGCTACGGGCAGAGGCGCCGGCTCCGCAACACCAGAACCAGAGCCAGAGCGATTCGCTTGTCGCACGGCCTCCAGTCTTAGCTCTTCGAGTACCACGCAGTATCGCTGCGCAAGACAGTCTGTCTCGCTGATACTTTCCAGCTGCCTCTGGCATTTCTCGCCAGCGGCAAAGTACGGCTCGCACTGTCCCGGCGTGAGCAGATGCTGTCTGATGCGGTAGATATACAGCACGACCACAGCACAGAACGCGTAGTACTGCGTGAACCAGAATGCCCTGAACAGGTTTGACGAACTAAAGACATCGTCCACAACCCGAACGATGTTCATCGCTGCATCCAGACACCTGGCGATGTTTGTGCTTGTGTCCGCAGCCTTGTTGAAGTTGGGATGGTGTCGTAGGCCTGTCAGCTTTGCGAAGTTGCTCAACAGGAATGGGCGGTGAATAAGGAGCATTGCATGGTAGTACGCGAGGTTCAGCACGCCGCGTTGACGTTGGTAGATGGGGATCAGCAGCGAAGACTCGATGCCTGCGGCGTCCAGGAATGGTCCGAGAGATTCTCGCCAGCGATCTAAGTCAGTGGTGTACTTCTCGGAAAGTTGTATGCGGAGGTCGAGAGACGGAGGTCGGATTGAGTAGAGATCCCGCAAGACGAGGGAGACGATGCGTGTGAGCCTGGGTAAGGTCAATGGGTGTTTTGAAACTGGCAGGAGTTGTGACTTACTTGATGTGTTCTACAGGCGCCATCATGTGGGAAGGGCTCTTCGAATTGGACGGTGATATGTACTGCGGATGCAGATCTGAGTCGTTGACCACAGTGGGCAACTCCTGGTCAATATCCTCATCCCTGAACGTGCGCGGCCGTCCAAGAGCAGCGGAGAGATACTTGTCAAGCGAGTAGGCGACCCAGAATGTGCGTCTCCGGCTCTCCAGTTCTACGTAGTCGATCGTCGCTGATGGATCATACCTCCTCCCGCGATTCAACCCAATGGCAAGCGCAAGATGACTCGTCGTTCCGAACAAAGACCAGCAGTGGTTGATCCGCGATTGTGTCAGCAGATAGAAACACTGCAGCAATCGCGCCTGCACACTCGCCAGCCTCACCGCACCACGCTCCTTCGACAACTGGTGGTCCGCCGCAAAGAAGTACCGCGCACTGTTCTCCTGCGTCGTGCTACCCGGCGGCATATACGCCTGCGCTTGAGCGAAGACAATCAATAACAGAGCAGTCTTCGCCGCCGCGTCTTCTTTAGCATACATGTCGCCCTGCGTCTCGTAGAACTCGTGCACCCACTTCTCGATCGTGGGGCGGTGGATGAACCGATGCGTCGGCGCCGCGTAGTCAAAATACCGCTCCACGAGTCTCTGCGCATCCGGCTTGGGCGGTAGGACGAAGAAGGTTGGGTCGAAGTCTGCCAGGGGCGAGTCGCCCCAAGCGAAGATCGAGGAGTCCTGGGAGGTGGGCGTGTTTTGGTGAAGACGCTTCTGGATCCGGATCAGGAAAGATACTCCAGATGATGAGCCGACGTAGTGGCCTTGCGAGTCGGTTTGTGCTTGCGCCGGCTCCGGGGATGTCCTGGATGGTGGGTCACGATTTGCGTTTTCATTGTTGTCATTGGGAGGCCGGTTCACTCTTTCCAGAATCGGTCGGTCGTGTGCTGAAGGTGTGTTGAGACCAGTGCCGCCATACTGAAAGGAAGGTAAGTCCCGGAGTGGATTATCCTCAACCGGTGCGGTGTTTAGCTGCGTGATGCCTGCTTTAGATGCTGCGGACATAGCTGCTTCGTCCATCATGATTGAGGGCAGTCGCCCGCGAGTATATTGTGCCGTGTACTCGCATGCTAGACCAGCTCGAAGGCAGAGAGTGCAGGGGCATCGTCCTGTGCATCGCGTCTTCTTCCTGACGATTCGTTAGCAGGCTGTTGAGTGCAGAACCTGAATGAAAGATTGTCATAAGGGCAGACGGAGTTCACAATTTTGTTTAGAACTTCTACTTGACTTACTTCTTGCATCTGTCGCACGCTCTACTGACTCTGGTCCGTTCTCTGTCTTCCCTGCGCCGCTTTGCTGGCGGAGAACGTTGGTCACTCGACTCAGCGTTCGAGGGCGTGGTAGCCGAGGTCGCCGCAGCCTCAGCAAGGTCGTGATTGCGGTTCAGAGCCCCCCAGGATGAAGGACTCTGTCCAGCATCGGAGGGTGCGTTCGGCGGGCTCATCCCGCTGTCTTCCATTGCAAATGGGGATCCTAGGATAGGCGATGCTTGAGGGTGGATAATGACTCCGGGAAATCGTAGGGTCGGAAAAGCACGCACCGGTGGGGCGGTTTATAGACTAGTGTGGGCCAAGTAGAAAGGCGCAGATCTCTGATCACGGTTTTCATCAACTTCCATTCTCTATCTCGTTACTACCATCGTCTCAAGGATCTCCAAAATGACGCGCCTAGTGCGTGTTGAAGTGCTCATGCCTGGAATAGCAGCTGCTCCATTCTCTAGTCCCCTTGTCACTTCTTTTTGAACATCGATTCTTCCCAACCGTACGCGTGCTTGAGGCGTCTTCCAAACTGTCTGGCAATGTCATACGGGACGTCGGTATCTGGATGTGGCTGGTGGAACTGGATACCCCTTGACAAGCCAAGATCAGGAGAGGGTGTGAACTGCCACGCTGACCTGTGCAGCGCCTGCGCGGAGAAGCCGGGATTTGTGAACGCACCAACAAAGCGATCCCACTTGATCTTGCCGGGCATTGCTCCTTTGCCTTCGATGTGAAACAGAGTCCGACATACGGCGTGGCTGTTCTTGTTAACGCGGAATACCTGCTGCGGCTCTGGCTCCGGGACTGGAGCCTCAGCATCAACGACTTTGGCTTCCGATGCGGCTTCTCCTCAAGTCTTGGGCTTGACCTTGTCAGTAATGTTCGACCTGTCGAAGTTGCTAGTTATATCTTGGCTGCTGTCATGGAAGACAAATGAGAGCGGTTTTGTATACTCCAGTTCCGCAGATCGAGGCTTCTCAATACGTGACCTCTCGTTCCACGGTGTCGTGCGCTGCAACTGTCCTCTTCCATCGAAAAGACGCTGGAGGGTAGCGTATTCTTCCTTGTCTACGTATTTCCGGACGTTGAAATCGACATGCCACCAGAAGGTGTCAAGATTTGCTTCAGCTATGCACATCTCATTCACGGTCTTGTGCTGGCTGCGACTTCTGTTGACCGGGTACTTGAGCTTTCCGTCAGATGGGTCACCCACATGAGGATTTGTGATGAGCTTGTCTCCAATGGTTTTGTTAAAGAGGCGGACCCATCTCCCGAAAGCCTCTTCCAAATGCTGTGTGCAGCGAGCTTTGGATCGAGCAGCGTCATTGTGAATTCTGCAAAACCACGGCTGCAATTCAAGCTCGAAATGGCAAGCTGCCACTGTCGAAAGTTCGGTGAGATCCCGTTCAAGAGGGGTAGAAAGATACTGGTTGCACTCTGGTCTTCTTCAAAGTAGGGTGTTCACCAAATCAAGTCCGTGGTGTAGAATGCTCAAGTTCTTCTCACAGGCCTTGGTCAAATCGCCGGTGACTCAATCTAACATGTTTGACAACTGTTCTTTCCCCGTTTGATCGTCCCCTAAGCTCAGCTCATGCGCGACAAAGTTAGTGGAGGAAGAAGAGAGCGAGGCAGATTTAGCAAGATTTTCATGCGGCTCCGGCTGTGCCCAAATGATCAAGTGAAAGGAACATACGACTGCAGCAAACAAGAACTCTGAGCATGACAGAACAGCCTAATACATTCATGAGCTTTGGCAATGGAAGCTCGACCATCTCCCTCTGTGATGTAGAAGATGTAAGCCACGCATGCGCCGACATCTTGCGTGTTGTGGCGGACTCCAGCGCATTAGTCCTTTGAAAGTACATATGAACCGTCGCCGTGACTGGTATGTACCAGGAACGCTAGCATGTAGACATAGACATCGTGCCGTCTGATCATTGCAGTTCAGTCAGGAGCGTAGGGTAAGCGCGATGTTCAATGTGACCCTATGGCAAGGGCCACCAGTCCAGGCAAGGCGAAAGGGAACCTCCACGCTCCAGAACGCTCTCATAGCGCAGATATCAAGCTCGCGGTCGCACTTCCGACGTCGAAAGAGGCCAGTAAAAATATGAACTGCTCGATGGCACATTCCGATTGCAATCATTCCAAAGCGAGGGAGACATTTAATAAGAGGGCAGGGAGCGCGACACAGACATGACAAACCCTGCTCACTCTTTCGACTGAGGTCTCGAAGACAGTGCCCGGCCATGTTTCATCGCGATGCCGTTTTCGATGTGTTTCTACGGTAAATTCTATGCAGAGAGAGGTGACAAAAACAGAAGCATATATATCCACACTATAGTTACTGCCGCCTTCCATCGCGCAGTGATTGAGAAGAATACCGATAGTGGACATAGAAGGTGTTCGAGCTCAGCTTGAGCCGGAGTACGACAGAAGACATGTGGTGTCGTTTGCTTGATTTGGACACGCAGTCCCCGTCATTTTCGAGCGAAGTTGTCCAGAAATCGGAAAGTCTTGGATGTGCAGAGCATGCTCAGACTTTTGGGAAAGTGAGTACCTGCCAGAACCAGGAGCAGGCACTGAGAACATCACACTGCTCGAAGCAATTTCTGAACGATGTTTGAGGAACTGTTGATGAAAGAGTACAACACGTCAAGAATGAAAGCCCTTTACAGCTCGGGTTGCGCTGTTGCGCATCCTTTGATTGCAGATGTTAATGTCATCAAACCAGACAGTAGGCCAGCCTGCAATGACAGTGCATCAAAGATCCCAATGTAGAGGTCATGTATTCGACAAGAATATGCTTCTACAGGCAAAAAGCATCTATATCTCTTACAAGACAGCACAATAACACAAAAAATTTAAGGCTCGCCCGACGTGAGAGTCGAACTCACAGCCTTGGGATTAAAAGTCCCACGCGCTAACCCTGTTCACCATTAATTCCTATTCTCACGGCATATCTCAACCATAGAACTCACAATTGTGCCAGCCGGGCAGAAAAAGAAGGCGTGTCCCCTGCCAGACTCGAACTGGCGGCCTTGGGATATCTGCTGGAGAGCAGTCACAGCATGATGACTATGAGACCCACGTGATAACCTGAATCGCTGTTAGGAACTGAAGATGGTCTTCTGAGGAGGTTCGAGCTTACCAACTACACCAAGGAGACGCTGCAATCGATTTGATTGCTGATTATATAATCCGTCGACGCGTAAGAGTGTATATATAATGAGCTATGTCAGAGCTCGAGATAGGTTCAACAGCGACGGTGTTGTGCGGTATGAACTCTGGTGCGCGAGACGGTAGTCAGTGGGGCTACTATATGAGCCAGTGTTCGATTGTGGAGACGCAGATGACTTTCATGAGGTGGGCCTTCATAGTCATGACGCCGGGGGTCTGAAGATGCGGTATATGTAAGGCCAAGACCACTGCAGTTCGCAGGGTTCCTCACCTCACGGTTGTGCACACTCTTAGGTCTGAGTCCTCGAACGGATCATACCATGTCGGAAATCAGCGACAGAAGGTAGCAGATATGCTTGTTGCATGCTGGAAGAGTGCGAGGTTTGTAGCTCGATCATGAAGATGCAATGGAGTGTAGTCGTAGACTGGAAAGAGGCTGATGGGGTGCGTGACCGGACCGGCTGGCTGGGTCAAGGGAAATGCGCCGAAGCCTCAATGACGGCCTAGTTGAAACACCACACCAACTCAAGTTTCTCCGAGTCAAACAGACCACTTGTTGAGAAATCAACCGAATCCTTGATCATCGACTTGCCCTTCTCAGCACTGAACGGCACGAGGCGAGGATAACACCCGGCCGCGGCTGTAGGGGTGTGCTCTGTTCGACTGCTGACCTTGTCGCCGCTGGATCAAAGACCACACAGGACTGCCACGAGTCTCTCTTCTTCTTTGTGCGACGCTCAAGAGCCGAAGACACCAAGTTGAAGATGTTAAAGCCCTAATTAGCCGCCGGGTGGGTCGTCCATTGGGCTGAATGCACTGCAAATCTGATGCCAAATGTGGACCGGCTGGGCAGCCATGCGAACAGCATGGTGGGCGACCACTCGCTCGGAACCCAATCAGGGTCTCTTCGGGCAGCAAAGGATTCAGGTCGCGAGGAATGTGAGCAGTGACTCATTGCGCTGATAGTCGGGGCGCGCATTTTGAGTATTGTGGAGACTGACTTGTAGTGTTACAGCTGTTTAGCGGCGATTATAACATACCCAACGGACCGACAAGCTCATAGTGGTGTTCTTGAGGCGCACCAGAAGGGCGTCCCACCAGTTCTCACTTTTTGGTGGTGGTGTTGTGGGTTGCGCTAGGCGAGTACGCTAGTCTACCCAGACCAGACGCCACAGCACGAGCGACCTTAAGCGTTGAACAGAAGAGATCTTGCCGTACAAGGTGCTCAAAACTGCTGACTGCTTCTCCACGCCAGGACCGGGTTTGGCAATCATTTGCTTGATAGCAGCACTGAAAAATTCTCTTGGGCTTCTCCTTAGGCACAAATCGGGGGCTGTATGCTGTAGGCCTGCGGAACAACAAGGCATCGAGGTTCGCACATCGCGCAGAATGGAACCTCTGAAAGTCGTCAGCGCAATTTACTGGAACTTGGGAACGAAGTGAAGCGGGTCAGACGCTGGCATCAATCAGCAGTGGATGCCACATAGCCAACGGCCAAAGACGGAATATCCGAGTCCACGTTCGCATTGCTAATAGTTCACAACCTTGGGTCACGACAAAGTCGACCTTCCGCCTCAGGATGTGCGTACATTCGCTTTGTGACCTGGTAGCCGGTTCTTTGATGTCGTGCAGCACGCTGGGAGGACAATTTCAGCTGCGCCATATGACCGAGCATCAACCGTGTGAATTGAGAGCTGTGAAGACAAAAGCCGGGGCTGTACAGAGACCAAACGCCACAATGGTGACAGAAGAGGGTGGGGGACCATTGGCCATGAGCGCACGCTTTTAAGAGCCTGGCTGGTCACGGCTTTCGTCCACGGCAGGCCGAATCAGCAAATCGAGAGGAAGACGGACATGCCTCAGATCGTAAGCAGTGTCGCGCGTGTCATTGAAAGGAATGCAAGTGCCTCACTCAAGATGAAACGGGGTGTCTGTATGTTGTACGTCCTTGGTGCCAGTCCCTACGTCCGGAGAACGTGGAACAAACTCGGCCAGAGGGCCGTGAGTGCCTTGGACACGGAAACGGCCGTCGAGAGTGCCACGACGTAGACTGCGCGTTGATGGAAGCTGACCTGTGACGCCGAAGTGTCGTGATCGTTTGATTAGGTCTATCAGAAAGCATGAACACCACTCGATGCCCTGCGTCTCTTCACCGGAATCCTTAGTGGTAGCGGGGTATCAAATGCAGAGCTTCGTCAGCGCGCGTGATGAGGGGAACTCTCGGAACGAGACGAGATGGTTACACCGGGTACAGCTGTCTCAATGTCGTTGGTCCAACAGCCGGCAGTCGTGCGCTAGTGGGTGCCATATTATGGAAGGCCATGATTCGCGGCGGCCAGACGGGCACTTGTCAGTCAGCCCTGATGCTGAGCGATTGAAAGCTGTGTGGCGAACGGACACATCTTCCGTGACGCTGCGACATTAATGAAGTGTTGCAAGAATGGAGGTGCTTTGTTGTTCCTGCATGGCAGACGCCAATTGACGTGGCTAGCTCACAGGAAAAAGGCATAGTCGGCACAAAACCGTGCGTCTGAGATCATAGCGGGTTGCAGAGGATCGAGGAGGAAAGCAGATGAAGCTAAGAACGAGTGGTCCTGCCATCGTTCACAGTGTGGAACCTGGGGAACAGTTGTTGAAGACGCAAAAGAAGTGCAGGCTAATGGAAAGATAACACGGATATGAAGCTTGAAGAGCGCGGATCAGCGAAACTAGAGCCCCTTCAGGCTTGGCGTCCGTCTTTAGTGTAAGCTACCAGACCTCTTGTGTGCTGGCGATGGAGTGGTCATGAATGAAATGCATCCACGAAGCGGTGAACGCGCCCACAAACGACGAGAGTGGACAGCAGCTCGCATGCAGAGGGGCGGGCGATCCCGGTTTTTGTTTGTTACTCACGGCACTCTTTAACTACTTGGGATGACGATGCAGCTCTGTTTGAGACGTTCGCACATCTGGGGATGCCCAATGACAAGGACTCGTCTAGTAGGGCAGACCTGGCTATAATTACGCACATGGAAGACGTTGATCGTTACAAGGGACCGCCTGGTGAGGGAACGACCGCGTCGCAAATTGCCGGCCGTGTGTCAATTGCTTCAGATGTCAGAAAACTCCGTGGACAAGTGGCCTGCGCGATGACGCTCCTCTTTCCCGAGGAATGTGGACAAGGCAAAGCACGGCGACACAAGCACAGCTGTACACTTCTCCGCAGCAACGAGGCGCTCACAGACGCAAAGCTGGGTGGACGCTGCGTCACCACGGCGCATCGAGGGCCTCAAAGGTAGACGACGCAAAGAAGCAGTCTTTTGACGACGTGTGCATCGAGGGCAAGGGCAGAACGGCCCCTCCGCCGCCGAGCACAAGGCAGGTGGGCATCAAGCAGGCTGCTGTGCGCGCCCAACGACGTTTAGACGCAGCGCGCGTGAGAGGCTATTACCAACTGGGGCGTTTAGCACGACAGGGCGGCTGGGCCGTTTTGAAATTTTGCTGGCGGGGATGCTTTGCGCTGCAGCAGTCGATGCCCGAGTGCGCCTGCATGCATGCCTGCCTGCACACTCAGTCGCCCAGACACCCCAGACTTCTTTCTCACTCCCGCTCCCTCGCTCCTTCCCTCTCACCCAGCCCACTCGACATGAGACCATAGCAGAGAAATACCCTCGACTTGTGCAAGATGCGCACCCTGCGACAGTTGCCCGTCGCCTAATTGTTGTCGCAGTCGATCGCCGCCCCGCGACCATCATTTATCGATAGGCTCCCGCCGCTAGACATTTTACCGACCAGCCCTCCGCTCAGCCTGATGCTGCAACTCACCGCAGGCCCTCAGGCCAACATGGCGGGCAGCAACTACCGTCCACCGTGCGCAGAGGATTGTCTCTCTGACGACGGTGAAAACTACAACGCCAACAATGGTATCTCTATCGACTCTTTCGTCGACAATTCGCCAGGCAAGGCAAACGTTCGTACTAAGCGCTCCAACCCGGAACACTTGGGGACCGAAAAGACCCCTACAGGCAAAGCACCAGCTTTCGACGTCAAGAGCGACTCTGGGTATTCCAGCCAATCCGTCGCCGGCATGAGTAGCGCTGATTCGGCCGCAAGTGCTGCTTCGTCCCAGAGAAGCCCGCCCGTCATCCCTGCGGCTCCGTCTCCCACTCCCCAGCAACGAGCCCACCGACCTTCTCACCAGCGACGAGAGAGCACACAAAGCACGCAGAGCTCTCAGCCCCCTGTTCGACCACTACCATCCCGCAGGGAGTCTCAGACGTCGCGACGACCCACCAATGAGCGACGACCTACCATCACCAGGGAGCAAGCGCCTGCACCCAGACGCAGAGACAGCCGGAACGTAGACGATACCATCTGCACGAAGCCTGGCTGCACCACATGTGGCCCTGATGCCGTTGACAGGCCCACGAAGCCACGCCCGTCACGCCGCTTGTCCGTGCTCCAAAATCCTGCCGAGTCAGCTCCAAACGTCTCTCAGCGTTACGCTCAGGACACACGCTCGCAGGTCTCAGACCCTGCGACCTACCAACCTCAGTCTCCAGTAGATGGCCGACCGACTCGCCTTTATCACACGCAGGGCGGGCCTGTCATCCAACCTGGCATGTCACGCCGACCGTCGACTTCTCGCCCATCACGACCGATCAGCTACCACGGCGATCCTCGGGACAGTTACAGGCCACAGCCCAACCTACACCAAGAACATGGCCCACCACCTTCCATGTCGGCAGCGTTCAATTATTCTCCGCAACACCTGCAACACCCGCAAC